TAATAATCTAGCACGTCTTATGGCTCTGGCACCGTTCTGGGTGATTAAGACAAAAAGTCTATTGTGTCAATTTCAGAAATAATCATTTACATTTGAAAATTAGGTCTATTGAAATGAATTAAGTGTATAAGAATTCTTATTCTTCTTACATGCAACTGAGAACATTGCTAGTGAGAGCACTAAAAGATACTCGCTGTAAGGATACTAGGTAACTTATGAATCAACAGGAAAAACTGGGAATCAGCTCAGTAAATGAGTAAAAACCAAAGGAGGCTAGGTAGCAAGAGTCCAGGCTGAGCAATGCCTCAGAAATTATCTTTTGGATTGCTAACACTGAAAATTTGCTGCTGCCACTATTGGACTCTTAGTGCCACTGTGAATGACTTACTTGTCTCTGGTGCATCACTCTTACAGAATTACAAGTACTGGCATGAGCATCAAATGGCTGACTATATGCCAGAAACTGGGGTGAAACTTATTTGATTCCTCTAAATTTTGTGTTGGGACATGAGTCCATATCTCAAAGCATGACTTGGCCAAAGGTTATTTCCCCAAGAAAGGGCATTCAGATGATTTAGAGACAAAAGCAAACATAAGAACCTGACAAATGTTCACCTACATCCTTTTTCTGATACCAACACTTCTTATTCCCACCAAAAGTGGCTCAATTCTAACATAAGTATTCTTTATAACAACCAGAAAAAGTATACATACAAATTTCTAAAGGAAATAATTCCAAGTCTCATTAGTTACTACATCCTACTTGGAGCCCAGGATTACTGTACAGTGTGCATTACTCTGTAGTTCTATTATGATATTACATTAATATTTTATATATAAGGACTAGGGGAAATGGAGAGGAAGGAAAGACATATTAATGAAACTATGCAAATATATTTGTGACACAACAATGAAAACAATATGGGTAGAGGTTATGATCTTTATTTTTGCATGCATAGTTGACTGTCGAACAATGTGGGAGTTAGAAGGACAGACCCCCTACAAAGTAAAAAAATCCCTGTATAACTTTTGACTCCCCCACAACTCAACTTCTAATAGCCTAGCACTGACCAGAAGCCTTACTGATAATATAAATAGTTGCTAACATAAACAGTTCGTTAATACATATTTTGTATGTAATATATACTGTATTCTTATGATTAAGTAAGCTAGAGAAAAGAAAATGTTAAGAAAATCATAAGCGAGAATTCATTTGCAGTACTGTACTATAAAAAATCTATGTATAAATGGACCCACACAGTTGTAAACCATGTTGTTCAAAGGTCAACTATATTTATAAGGCCATAGTTAGAATGTATACCACCTATAAGTGTACCCTATGTTTTCAGCTAACACATCACTAAAACAGATAAGATAAACTTTAGGATAAAACTGGTCACAAGAGGGTCGTCTGAGTGGCTCAGTTGGTTAAGCGTCTGACTTCAGCTCAGGTCACAATCTCATGGTTTGTGAGTTTGATCCCTGTGTTGGGATCTGCACTGACAAGGCACTATCCTCAAAAAATGACCACATAATCCAAAAATTCCACTTCTAGGTATTTATAATCAATCAATCAATCAATCCATCATTATATCCAAGAAATATCCACACCACCATTTCCCTTGAGGCATTACTCACAATAGCCAATAACATGGAAATAACCTGAATGTGTAAGACATAGTTGATATATAGTTGATACCTCTTTCTCAGCATCAACATTTCAGAAGAAGCAGTTATTAGTTTCTTACGGCAACAGTACCAGAAGTTTTTACTGAATTTTTCCTCTGTGTGCCCCCTTTTTGTTTCATGCTGCCGAGATTTCTTCCATGCGTTAAGCTGGGAATCTCCAAACTTCCTTTGGTTAATAAGTCTCCATCAAGAGGAAACAGAGCATCGGAGAATATGAATAGAGTTCCAGTCATCTCTGGAACATCTCCATATAGTTCTATGTGTAGGGCTAAAGTTAATGAAAGACTACTGCAACACTTTACAAGCAGGAAGTTGTGTTTCTTGGGAATGAATGTTTGGGTAAACCTACCAGGTGAAATGTCCATATTTTCATTCTCAATGTTCGTTTCCTCACTATCCAGGAAAGCCAACAACACATATGCTGGTATTTTGTGATGACAGCACTCTTACTTTGGGTACCAAGCTCTTTATTGACTAAATCACTATTAACTGATAGCCTGGCATAATTGGTTGGGTTACAAAGCCTTTATTTTAACATCATTGAATTTTCCTTTGGATAATATAAGGAACAAAACAGGTCTTTTTTTTTTTTTTTTTTTTTTTTTTCAAAACAGGTGTTTTTGATCACAGTACAAGCAGGGATTCAGGAACCCATGATGCTTTTTTCATGTTGTGGCTCAGCCATTTTTAGCATATGTTTTCCAAGGTGGCCAAAGAAGAGAAAGATCATAGGACAGTGCATGGTACACACCTGAAGAGTTGGCAGTCACTTTTACTCAGATTTCATTGGTCAAAATTCAATCCTGTGCTCCAATTAACTGTTCAAGGGAGGCTAGGAAATATAGACTGTGTCCTACAGAAACAGGAAATAGGTTTGGTGAAAAGCCAGACAGTCTCTGACACAGAGACCTTTTGCAAATAGAATTTATAGGGTTTCATATTTCATAAGATGTACTGGGGTAAGAGAAAGCAATAAAAAATATCTTCTAAACTTTTAATATGGAAAACCATTTAGATGGTAATGAATCTATGGACGTTTGGGAATATAGAAAAAGAAACAAGATTGAGGAGGGAGGAAATAGTAAATAAAAACACAGTGAATTCCACTTTAGTGTAAGATTTAAAAAAATATTTTAGGTCTTCCAAGCCTAGCATGCGTTTGGAAATATAGGAGGCATACTGTATACTTAAAGATAACTTAGAGATAGAGATTTTTTATTCTTCAAAACAGTTAGTGGCAATAAAGGTCATTAGATTGACCTGGGACAGAGCTTAAATAGAAAAAGAGATAAAAAACAAAACAAAACAAAACATTGTGTGTAATATAATATCTGCCTTAGTACAAAGTAATAGAAACACAGAGATGAGTATAAAAAGTTTTTTTCTTCAAGAAGCTCACAGGTGGATAGATAGAAATGATCAAGGATATTATTGAGTGATAAAGGTTATAAAAGATAAATATGAAATGGGAAAATAAAGTAAGGTCAACATTCAACAAATTTTACTGATTGAATGTATAAATTATATTCAAATATATCATGCAAAAAAATTCTATTTCTTAATGGCATTTGTCTCTCAACTCTTACATAAAAAGGTGACAAATCCTCCTGTAATTACACAGAAAAGACTTCTGTCTCCATTACTACACATTTACCTTTATTAAGTGCATACTATGTGTAAGGCATCGTGTTGCATTATGTGTTTTCTTCTCATTGAAGTCTCATAATAATATTATATGACATGGATTGTTCTTTTCATTAAATCCCCCAAAGATATGTATTGTTTCCAAATACAAAATGGAAAACTGGGGTAGCAGAGAGATTATCTAACTTGTCATGGGAACCTATATCTGTCATGCTTTTTACCACCTCACAGTATCTACCTTTGTTCTTTTTGAAGAATAATTAGAAATATCAATATGACTTACTCATTAGTTATCTGCAAATTAACAGGAAAAGTGAGAGCTGGTGCCATGGAATTAAATAGACAGGTATTATTTTACCAAAATTAGGAAAATAGTATAAGCATTTTTTGGCAGTCCAGCATAGAAGCACAAGTGAATAACTGCGGTTGTAAAATACTTAATATTTGCAAATTTACCATAGACTAATAAGAGAATTTTAAAAATAAACACTTAAAAATTTGCATATATAACTGATGAGTATTAAGGAGATATTAAAAATTTTTTTTAACGTTTATTCATTTTTGAGACAGAGAGAGACAGCATGAATGGGGGATGGTCAGAGAGAGAGGGAGACACAATCTGAAACAGGCTCCAGGCTCTGAGCTGTCAGCACAGAGCCCGATGTGGGTCTCGAACTCACGGACCACGAGATCATGACCTGAGCTGAAGTCGATGCCCAACCTACGGAGCCACCCAGGCGCCCCAAGTATTAAAGAGATATTTAAATGGCATTAGCTACATTGTATTAAGTGAGAATGTCAAAATAAATCTGAGGCATTTATTTTTCTAGAAAAATGAAAAACTATTGAAAATTAACTTAAATTTTACAAAAGATTTTATATCTTCTTATATCTCTATTTTTTCTAATTTTATACCTGAATATACATTAGGCTTAAAATTAATATATATATATATATATATATATACTAGTTCTGTATACTTTATAAACACAATTATATAACTATGTGTCTTTTGTCTCTGTCTCTCCTTTCTTCTCTCAAATATATGCAAAAGGCAAATACATCAAGTAAATGTACAAAAATCTTACAATCTCTAAGAAAACCAAAAAGAATGTTTAATTTCCCTTTCATATTTTATATTTTTTAAATTATTATAAGAATGTGAATCACTTATATAATGGTGAAACTTTTATTTTGAAGTAAAAAATTCAGATACTGTTTTAACAAAATAAAGAAGATATAATTAAATATGTGAAAGTAGGTAATGAAACTAATGAAAGTACACAGTGTCTTAATAAAAGTCAGCAGCTGGGGCAGAAATTACTATGCCAGAGAAACTGAAAATAGCTTTAGGATTTCTATCCTTGGGATATGAAACAATATAAGTAATGCCTTTGCACTATTTCCTGCAATTAATGAAATAAGTTTTAATTGTTCCTTGGACATTTGGATATATAAGGCACCTTTGGGGGTGTCATGTTAACTTGATTTAAATTAAATTATGATCAAGAAGAGAAATGCTTTATTCTGTATATTTTTAGAAGATTTATATACAAATACATCTTGTTACATACAGTATTTCTTCTTTAATAGTATTATTTCAAAGTCCTTTAACTAAATATAATAGCCATAATTCAAAGTGACCACAGATGTGGCATGGCATTGGTTCATTTTGTTGTTCCATTGGGAACTTTAAAGACTAAATTCTTTCTCACAAGCGCAACTTTTGTTTTAGCATCTTGAAATCTTTCACATGCTTTTTGAAAGATAATCATATCAATAACAAATTTTTCTTCACAGTGTTTTTTATATGTTTCTTGAGCCCTAAGAGGAAAAAAAGTAATAGAATGAGATATTTTTAAATGACTAAAAGTATAACATTTATTCAGGGTGTTAATATAAAAGTAGATGCCTTTAAAATAGACATATACAAATGGGAAAAAATTAGAACTCCACTTATTTCATAAAATTTTATTATATCAATAATATCCATAATTTATTCAATAATATGCATATCAGGCTAATGTTTCTAAGATTTCTCTTGGCTGTAACATAATTCCCATAAGCCCTGGTAGATTCCCAAAAAAGCATCGAAATCAGACTATGCTCTGATTTGCAAAACTTTTACTGAAGGCTCACTAAATCCAAGCTTCTTCTAGGACTCCATTATGGACTGAATTGTGTCCCCATTTCCAACCCCCAAATTCATGTTGAAGTCCTAAACTCTCGTACCTTAGAATGTTTCTGTATTTGGAGATAGGGTCTTTAGAGGTAATTCAGTTTAAATGATATCATTCAGATGGTATTCCACTTTTCAAGCAGAAAGTAAAAGGGAAGAACATTTTGTTCACGTATATTTGTTTAGATAGCACGAACAGCGAAAATAAAGGCAAAGATGAGAGCATAGCTTGGCATGCTCTGAGAAGTGACAACACTCTAATTTCTGGGTCATGAAGTTCTGGGAAAGAGAACAGTGGAACAGATAAGCCTGGAGAAACAGACTTAGAGCAAGCAGATCATGGAACCCTTCATTTGTATTCAGATACACTCAGAAATCTGGACTTGACGAGAAGAAAGGCAAAAGTCTACAGTCTGCCTTATTGACTATGTGATTTTTGCACAAGTTATTTAAGTTCTTTTTGCCTCAATTTCTTCATTTTTAAAAAAGGGATATCCAATTCATGGGGGTTAGTAAAAGACTAAATGAGTTAATACATATAAAATCCTTAGAACAGTGTGTGACATTTAAGAATTCCTTTTTGTAAAAATTTTTAATGTTTATTTATTTATTTATTTATTTATTTATTTTTAATTTTTTAAAATGTTTATTTATTTTTGAGAGAGAGAGACAAAGTGTGAGCAGGGGAAGGGCAGACAGAGAGGAAGACACAGAATCTGAAGCAGGCTCCAGGCTCTGAGCTGTCAGCACGAGACTAACGCGGGGCTCAAACTCACAAACTGCGAGATCATGATCTGAGCTGAATTGAAGTTGGACACTTAACTGACTGAGCCATCTAGGCACCCCAATGTTTACTTATTTTTGGAGAGAGAGCACGAGCAGGGAAGGGGCAGACATAGGGAGACATAGAATCTGAAGCAAGATTCAGGCTCTGAGCTGTCAGCACAAGGCCCTATGCGGGGCTAGAACTCATAGACTGTGAGATCATGACCTGCCAAAGTCAGATTCTTAACCGACTGAGCCATCCAGGTGCACTGATACTTAATAACTCCTTTTATTGGATAGATATTAGTGGTATTCGTCAGCATAGGAAACACAGGAAGAACAGCCAGATGAAGAGAAAGATTGGAATTCTCTTTTGGTAACATTATGTTTAAGGAGCGTGGCTATCGATGTGGTAATGACCAAGAGCGAAAAGGAATGGCTTATGGTTTAAGAGAAAGGTAGTAAAGCTATTCTGCTTGGGATTGGGATCCAGATCTGCAGCTTATTGATTGTGTGATTTGGGGCAAATTATTTTAACTCTATCTGAATCATTTTCTTCACCTTTAAAAAGGGACAGACTAACTCATACGGTTTAGTAAGAAGTAAATGAGCAAATACATTTAAAATCCTTAGAGGAATGCCTGCATTTAATACTCCATGAAAATAGCTATAACTATTTTGAGTTTGGATTTCTGGAGAGTAGCTATGTCTGGACAAGTAGCAGAGTAGAAGTCATGGCAAAAGAGACCTTGCAAATGTAATTAATAGTAGTAGTTAAGTATAATAAATGTATTAAATAGATAACAATTATAAACTATGGACAAAATGTAACAAAACAAAACAAAACAAAACCTATTAAAAAGCACTGAAGAGTAAGAGAAACATAATGACCTATTATATTTATATATACCAGGATCAAACAATTGGAAAACAAAACTAAGAAAGAATTCTATTTACAATAGCATCAAAAAAATAAAAACAAACAAACACTTAGATGTAAATTTAACAAAAGGTATACAAGATGGGGGGGCACCTGGGTGGCTCAGTGGGTTAAGCATCTGACTTCGGCTCAGGTTGTGATCTAATGGTTCCTGAGTTCAGGGCCCCCCCTCTGGCTCTGTGCGGACAGCTTAGAGCCCAGAGCCTGCTTCAGATTCTATGTCTCCCTCTCTCTCTGCCCCTCCCCCTGCTCACGCCCTCTCTCTCTCTCTCAAAAATAAATAAACCTAAAAAGATTTTTTAAAAAGATGTACAAGGCTTATGCCTGAAAATAATAAAATATTGCTGAAAAAAGTAAAAATGATCTAAATTAATGTTAAGTTCTACCATTTCAAGGACTGGGAGACAATATTATCATGATGTCAATTCTCCCCAAATTTATCTATAGATTCAATGCAATCCCAATTAATATGTCAAGAGTCTTTTGCGTAGAAATTAACATTTAAATTTGTCTTAAGTATATAGAAGATTAAATTTAGATTAAAATTTATTCTAAATGTATTAAATTTAGGTATTTTGAATTTATTAAAATTTGAATTATATGGCAATGCAAAGGTCCTAGACTAACCAAAGCAAACTTGGGGAAGGAACAACAAAGAGTTTGGATTTTTCTACTGCTGTATAACACATTACCATAAATGTATTGGCTGACAACAACCACCATTTTATTATCTCATGGTTTTCATTGATCAAAAGTCCAGGCACAGCATGGATCATCATCTGGGTTTTCTGCTTCGGTTCTCACAAGGCTGAAATCAAGGTGTCAGCCAGGGCTGTGGTTCTGATCCAGATTGTGAGGTCCTCTTTCCAAAATTATTGGTTGTTGTCAGAATTCATTTCCTTCTCACTTTTCCACATAACCCCCTCCAGCTTCAAGTCAGCAATATCATATCAAATCCTTCTACTCTGAATCTCTTTCTTTTTTGTCCCTGCATGTGAAGTCTCGTGTGATGCACTGGACCCACCTGCATAATATAGGATAATTTCTCTATTTAAAGGTTGATGAATTAGTACTGTTAATTACATATGCAAAGTTCTTGTTGCCATGTATGTACTTTTGTGAGTAAAAGGAAAAATAGTAAGCAACTGAAGGAGCAGCTCAAGTTGGAGGGCATATAATTAATATTAGTGTAAGTCTACAAATTAGTAATCTCTTTCAGCCATTTTAACCGGAATGCAAGAAGTAAAGATAGTTGGATTATTCCAAGGTGGCAGTTGGGGTGGTTAACATTGTGGAGGCAATGAAAGGACTTCAGAGAAACTGAATGAAATGGTGAAAAGAATAACTGATATGAACTCTGGATGATACACCAAAAATGAAAAGAAAAGAAGTCCATAAGGAAGTTTATTTGAGGGCTGAGTGTCACAATATATTTGAATAAGCGTGTAGTGAAAGTAACAGAAGAAAAGAATTGAAAAGACAGAATTACCCACAAACAAGTATACGAGAACTTAAAATTTAAGAGGTCAGGCAGTTCCAAGTGACAAGGAGGCTTTTACATGTCTATGGAAATGAGTTTACAGGTTGTTGATGGTTTCCTGTCTCACATTCAGGTCCTTTATCCATTTTGGTTATTTTCTGTGTGAATGCGTGAGTATTTCTGCATGTTGCTGTCCAGCTCCCCAGCACCATTTGTTAAAGAGACTGTCTTTTTCCATTGGATGTGTTCTTTCCTGCTTGTGCTAAAGATTAGGCTACTGCATGTTGTTCTAGTTCTGGGGTTTCTATTCTATTCCATTGGTCTATGTGTTCTGTGGTGTCACCATGTCTGTTTGGGATGACAGTTTGTAGTAGATACAAGTCTGGGATGTGATGTGCCTCCTGCTTTGGTCTTCTTCTTCAAAAGTACTTTGGCTATTCGGGGCCTTTTGTGGTTCCATATGAATTTTAGGATTGCTTGTTCTAGTTTCGAGAAGAATGCTCGTGCAATTTTGATTGGGATTGCATTGAATGTGTAGATAGCTTTGAGGATTGACATTTTGTTATTCTTTCATAGAGGAATGTCTTTCCATTTCTTTAAATCTTCTTCATTACCTTCATAAGCTTTCTATAGTTTTCAGCATAATAAGACTTTTACATCTTTGTTAGATTTATTCCTAGGTATTTTATGCTTCTTGGTGCAATTGTGAATGGGACTCTTTTATTTGTCTTCTGTTTCATTAGTTAGTGTTGTAAGATGCAACTGATTTCTGTACATTGATTTTGTATCCTGAAACTTTGCTGAATTCATGTATCAGTTCTAGCAGACTTTGGTGAGTCATGATTTCCGTTATTCTCATGCCATGTATAATATCATATCATTTAAAGGCCGAAAGCTTGACTTCATCTTTCCAATTTGACGCCTCGATTTCCTTTTGTTGTCTGATTGCTGATGCTGTTTGAACTCAGCACTTATGTTACACAGCTGCAGGTAAGGGCATCCCTGTCGGTTCTGATCTCTCGGGAAAAAAGCTCTCCAGCCCGTTTGAGGATGATGTTAGCTGGTGGCTTTTCTTAAATGGCTTTTATGATCTTTAAGTATGTTCCTTCTAATCACTTTTCAGGGTTTTAAAGAAAGGTGTGGATTTCAGGCCTTTCGTATCGATTGACAGATCATATGGTTTTTCTCTTTCTTTTGTTAATGTGATGGTCATCATTGATTGATCAATGTTGGTATCCAAAGCCCTGCATCTCAGGAATGAATCCCCTTGATCATAGGGAATACATCATGCCGTGGAATTCGATTTGTAGTATTTATTGAGAAATCTTGCATCATATTCACTGGGGATATTGGCCTGTAGTTCTCTTTTTTTACTGGGTCTCTGTCTGGTTTAGGAATCAAAGTAATACTGGCTTCATAGAATGAGTCTGGAAGTTTTCCTTCCCCTTCTATTTTTTGGA